CTGTTTCTTGAAAGAGCCCTGGAGCTGAAGGTAACTGGCAAGGTAGATCGTTGCTCGAAGTACTTTTGTGCTCACTCTGTCCTGACTCCAAAGAAGCTGGTTTGGAGCTGCAGTAAAGCTGCAGCAGAGCCGTTCCCAGCCCATTTGTGTGGTCGGGTCATTTGTAGCAGGAACTGACTCATCACATCCCACTGCTGATGGGATTTCTTCTCTTTCTCCAGTGGGGCTACTCCTTTCAGAGCCCGGCTGTTCAAGCACAGCTTTTCAGCTCCCTTGAAACAAAATTCAGCCTGCACTACTGCTTATTTCTTATTGGCTCTGAAATGTGGAAGGTTGTCACTGGCTGAACATCCACATCTGCTTTTTCGATGTCCCTGCCACACTTCGAGGTGAGAGCCACTTCTAGAGGGGCTGGTGAATTAGAAACAGAGCCATAGTTGGTGGTGATGGTTAAGGGGCTGCCTTCCTATTTCAGAACTAGGAGGAGAAGGCTTGAAGCAAAGGAATTTAAAACAACACTGTGCTGCAGAGGGTGATTTATCAGCTCCAGTGTGGCTCCTCAGTGGATGCTGTACCCCTGCCGAAAACATTAGTTCTGACCCTACTTTCAGTGTGCCAGAATGCCTCCCCACCCTTCCTTACTTTTAATCATTGCTGTATTTGCCTGACACAGCCTGCCTTGGAGAGGAGCTGATGTTAAAGGTGTGCACATTTATTTGAGAAAGTTGGTTTTCCTCCCATTTCCTCCTCCTTTCTTTCCAAAAGGGTTGTGAAAGCCCCAGGCTTGTCTTGTCCAGGCTCCGTGTACAATCCGTGCACCCAATGTCCTCCCTCCAGAAGTGCATTCCAGATGAATTGGTGTTCCTTGGGGAAGGAACATGTGCACCCAGAGGAGTCCATGTGCCACACAGCATGTGCTGTGCAGCAGTCTGGTGAAAATGGCAGGCGGTGGCACGCTGGGATCACTGATGTGGCTGAGAGGAGGACAGCACTTGGGCTGAGCTGTCACACCCTGCCACTCGGATGTGGCATCACCTCTGAACATCACCTCCTTGTTAGCAGCTGGACCAGTAGGTCCGTGGTGGATCGGAGCTCTTGCTCCCATGAAGCAAAATGCTCATGTGCTTTTATTCCTTGAGACAAAACAGAGGTTTTTTTCTCCATGGATTTGCTAAAAAATGAAGAGCGTCTCAAGGTTTTTAAGGCATCTGAAATGGCACATGCTGAGACCGAGGTTTCCACTTGCAGCCTAGTTACTGGCCCTGCTCTGTTTTTTGCTGGAAGTTGCAGCCATTCCTCAACTATACCTTGCTGTGTAGAGTTTCAGTTTTGGTGAAACCTGGGATGGGAGGCAGGGGGGAGTAAGTGAATCTAGAATATTCTAGAACAGATCAGGTGTGCTAAAGCGCCGTACATGGCAAGATTGAGATACGTTGACATTGGGAGCTAAATCACTGTAGAACTATCAATAATGGCATAAATAAAGAAAACAGTATAAAATGTTTCAGGCTCTGCTTAACTGTTATAGGAAAGCTTTATGGAGCTTACAGTGTGCCCGTGTCTCATCCAGGAGTGTGGAGTGGTGACTGCTGTTGTTAGAAAGCATTGAATTTACCACAGCAGCTGTTTATTGAATTGCTGTGATTTCTGCTGGATATGGTGGTCACATCCTCTGTGCGTTCCCTGCAAACACACAGGTGCTTTGACAGAAGGAGCAAGGATGCATCAAGAGTGTATTGCTGGGGAAGGTCTAAGGACCTGGTTTCTGGCCACAACTGATGTGCTATGAGACCAGAGAGGTATGGGGATTTTTGTAGTCTGCTTTCTGTTTGCTGATAGCAGAGATTAATATAAGTATCCCTGGATAAAAATCAGGAGCCATTGCTGTACAGGCAATTACTAGTAATATCACTACAGTCGCTTTTGGCCTTGAGTCTAGGATTAGGTGGAATGTAATCTGTTACATTTTTCAGGCTGCTTTTGTTGGAGTTTTCTCATTATTATATGATGAAGAGTAAAGCTGCATGAAAAATCTGTGTCCAGTCTTGCTCTGCATCACAAAGCCCTTTCTTGGCTCTGTTTTGATAGTAACGCTGCTGTGGATTCTTTATGTGTAGAAACTGTAGACTGCAGAAGAGAGACCTGTATGTAGGCTTGGTTGCTCCTAGCTCTTGATTAGAGTCCATTATATAAGCACCTTACAGGGGGAGGTATTGCTGTATTGCTGAGTTCAGCAGCTGGGTAAACTGAGGCACAGATGGAAAATGGTGCACCTTGAGAGTCGTGAAAATAAGAAGAGAGGTCAGCCTTTCCCCTGAGTAACACCCTTTGGACCCCACTAAAATGTCTCTTCCTGAAGACAGCCTACATAGTCATGCACAGGGCATCTGCATTTCCTAATCCCTCAGTGGTGTGAGCACTGAGGCTTCTCACCACCTAAAACACTTGAGAACTGAAGTCTCACTTTAATGTTAAGAATCTGTCATTTCCCCTGAACGAGAGGCTTATGTTACAGGCAACATATATGGATGATGTGACAGCCTTTTTGTACTTACTAAGTAATAAGCTAATCAACTGTCAGATTAACTGTTGGAATAACTGAAGGACGCATCCCTTATTCTTTGATACGTGTACGGGCACCACCAGTCGGGATGAAGTTTTAAATAAGGGAGGTTGGAAGATAAGGTTTCTTGTGAAGTCCCGTTGGCTAGTTTTTGGTGAGCAGGGTAAAAAGCGCACTCTCCTCTTTGCTGGGTGTTCCTCCTTCTCTCCCAACCACTGCTCTGAGGGGCAGAACAGAAGCTGGGAGCTGCCCCGTACTGTTTATTTCACTAAGTGCCAGATGCTGGCACTTCCGTTCTTTCTAAACTTGCGGTGGTTTGTGGTAACGTTGACTCTCGTTAGTGCACTGGTTCCTAGCAGGGTGCAGATGTTTCTTGTCAGCTTTGGCCATCTTTCAGGGCTATAAATACTGCCTTTAATAAAGAGCAGTGGTGAAAGAGGGCTGTGATTTATGAGTGAGGCTCTGTGAGTTGGCATGGCTTTTGAAGCGGTATTTGTACGTGAAAGACTCTTGCCGATGGCATTAGCTCACCTGGTTATCCCTTGCTTTTGTCAATTGTAAGAGCTGGGAATTTGGAACCAGTCGTGCCTGATTTCAGTGGACAAGGCCTTGACTGGGGCATGTGTCAGAGGACTCTGGAATTTGCTTTCTTCACAGGTTTGGTGCAGAGAATTTCAGACGTGGGCTGGTGATTTTGGAAAGGGCTGAGGAGGCATTTTCCACAACCACAATGTCGGGAGGGGCTTTTTTTCTTTCTAGGATAGCCGATGGTCAGTGATCTTAATGCTGTTGGAACTGTATTTACAGTATTAATTCCCTGCTCAGAGCACTGAGACTGACCCCCTTTCCTTATAGCACCTTTTTATTTACACTAAAGCAAATGCAAAATTAAATCCCCAGTACTTGCAAAACGAGCTAGATTTCTGTTTTCCTGTGATACTTGATAAAAAAGTTTTACCCACAGTGTGGATGTGTGATATTTATAATGTTGTAGCAGCACTGGAAGGATGGAAACAGATAAAATGTTCCTTTCTGTAGGAGCACTGAATACCTCCTTCTCTTAAACCATGGATGGGAAGAAAGGTAGGACACAGGTCAATGATTAGTGTGGAAGAAGGCATGCAGAATGCCAAATATTTTTATTTTAAACTCACTTTATATGAAAATCTCATCTTTAAAGGGTTAATAAGTGGCTAGCAGATATTTGAGTAAATGGCTATTTAATGGTTACTGGAGCACAGCGATAGTTGTTTTAACCATGGCTTGTTAACTCTGAAGATTACAGTGGTTTATGAAGCCGTGGTATGTTGTTTAAAGTGCTCTGTATTTAAAGTCATCTTTAACTCATTCCACTCATATCTGCCCTGTGCATGACCCCTGCTGATCATTCATTAGCCCTGTGTAAATGGGGGCTTAGTAGAAAGAATTTTCGTGTAGTATTTTTAAAAAATAAAAATGCTGTCAAGTGCACACACACAGTGAGATTTTTGCAAGAATTTTCATGCCAGTGTCAGAGAGAAGTTTTTCCAAAGTTAAAAGCCTGCCTGTATGCATGGATGTGTATGTGGGGGTGTGCTTTTTGGTGTGGAGGGTTCTTACCTCTTTGATGGGAGAAGGAAGGCTCACCAGAGCTTTCCTGCTATAGTAGTGGTGGGAGGAATCTATAAATGCATGATTGATCTAAAGTGCCCTGGGATTACCATGCTGAACATCCTGGCTTTGAGCAGCTGATGAGGGAAATAATTGCCACCACGAGGGAGCAGGAGGAAAGCAGAGAGTTCTCCAGGCACTGGCGTGAATGGCTTGTGTCTCTCATTCCCCACACTGGGTTCCTTCCTCCTAGTCCTGCTTTTTCTAGCAGTGCCTCCCCATGGGATGTCCACTGCTCATGGGCAACACAGAAGCCACTGAGAATTCTGGTGATGTCATTTTAGACTGGGGGAATTGTATTGTTTCCAGGCAACTGGAGAAGAATGAGGAAGGGACTTGTGCTGACTCAGCTCAGAGTATCTGAACACCCTGGCTTAATCAATGTGTTTCTCCTGTAAATTGGCTAATGGCCGATTTTTACAGGGGCCTCTTCAAACCAAACAAGCAGTTGGGTTAAAAAATACTAGTGCAAGAAGCAAATGAAGAACCAGTGTTCTCAGGTGCAGTTGTAGACTGATAATAGCAAACAGCTCTCTCTGAAGTTAGCACAAGTGGTAGACGCTTACCACAGTCAGAAAGCCGGTTCTTGGCTCTCTGTGTTTAACACTCTTAACTTCTGGTGGCTGCTGAATAAATGTCCCTGTTCTACACTGCTCCTTCAATTAAGTGCAATTTGCTACATTGTGTAATCTTGCCTCTGCACTGTTAATTGCCTGCTCTCCTAAGAGGAAACTGGAATGTTATCTTACCTTATTTTTCTGTTTTCCGTGTTCTTTTCATCTCACAGCGATGTTGAGCTGCAGAATGTGGTGTTAGACTCCAGTGCTGCCATGGGGAGCAATGAACTTCAGGAGAAAGATGCCACTGGAGCCCTTGGCCATGATCTCAGCAATGGCAGCAGCAGCAATTTGGAAGCAGCCAGGCGCCTGGCTAAGCGCCTCTACCATCTGGACAGATTTAAACGCTCTGATGTGGCAAAGCATTTGGGTAAAAAGTATGTGCTGATATGAGGCCTTTGGCCACGTTACTCTCTCTGCTGGTTCTAGAAGGGTTTCACTCTCGAATGATAACCTTTATTTATTCCTTTGCTTTTTTGTAGCAATGAATTCAGCAAGCTTGTGGCCGAAGAGTACCTTAAGTTCTTTGACTTCACAGGCATGACGCTGGACTGCTCGCTCAGGTACAAGCCTGTTTGCAGACTTTATGTTCTTGTTTTAGCAGCAGTGCTGCTGACACCGTTGTCCTGATTGGAGTGGTTGTCCTGTGGGCTCTTGAGAGAGTGCAGAGAGGGATGTGATGCATTTTTGGGACAGAGCTTTTCTCTTCAGTTTGTCTTGGTGTGCTGCCATACTTGGGTGCTACTGAAGTGGCGTCATTTCCTGGAGAGGGAAATCTTTGGGTGGACCTGCTGAGAGATGGTCCTTGATCAGAGGAGATGGAAAAAAGTGACCAGTCACACAGTAAACAGGGGAGTTCTAGTCTGCCACGTACTGCTGGAGAATTAGGGTGTTGCTCACAGCTGATCTGCACAGACTTTCTGACTGATGCATTTTGGAGTTTGCTCTGCCTGGCTTCAGTGTACTAAATTTAGGCAGGGTTTGATGTGGCTCAGCAACCCCCCTCTCTGTGTCTCCCTGAGGCAGAACAGCAAAAGCTTCCACGTGGAAAATGCTGTTGAGAGTTTGGTAGCTGCCAGCATGAGTGTTTGAAAACCCAGCCCTTCAATTTTCCTTCCTTTTTATGCTGGAATCAAGCCTCAACAATGTTTGTTTTCAGTACTTTTTTTCTCAGGAGGCAAAACATCAATTTTGTGTAGCAGTGGCCTGTTAGCACAGTTGCTGTGTCCCGGTGTTTAAAGGGATTTAAAATGAGTTTAAATAATCTGGCTGAGGTTACTTAAATGGGATATTGCTTTTTTCTATTGATAACAAATCTAGGAGCTGTGCATGCACTTCTCAGTCCCTTTGCAAGTGCATTTCCAGGGGTTACTGGTGCCATGAGAGCGTGGCAGACCCCGTGAGCAAGGAAACCCCAGAGTCCTGCCTACTGAAGGCAGTGGAAATGAAACATGCCTGGATAATCATGAACTGCCTGCTCCCAAGGCAGGCAGAGCAGAGCCAGGCTGGAGCACCCGCGCAGCACAGGGTGCTTGCTGCTGCAGCAGTGGGAGGTCTGCTGCTCCTTCCAGGTTTTAGCACCCCTGAAGCGTGATGCTAAATATACCCTCCTTTTAAATTGTGAAACCCAACACCTAATTGCTTTGTGGCCCATATTTAGGAGGTTTCTGCTCCCAGTAGGTCTCCTGTTAATATTAATAGTCATGACCTTCTCTAAAATATGCCCAGGCTCGTGTGGGACTTAAACAAGCCAGGGTTTTTCTGAGGTTTCAAGAGTAGCTGCAGCAGTTGCCAGCTACTGTTGCCCTGAGCGTGCAGCAGCAGCCAGGGACAGGGCATCTCCCAAAGCCTGGGGAAATATAGGTGTGCTGCCTTGCACTTTGCAGAGAGTGAAAGGTAACAGCCCTGTTGCTGCTGGTTCGCTGACAAGCTGTGGTTTGCTGAGCATTTTGGAGCCCATGGCAGCCACCCAGACCCATTCCACCCCCAGGCTGTGGGAGGCTGTTGTGCAACCTCAGTGACAAGTCTGAGACTTGGGAAGGGTTGTTCCTTCATTGTCTTGCTCTGCTTCCACACCCTGGACCCACATTGCCCAGGCGTCTCCAGTGTGCGCCTCTGTCATCCTCTGCAGGAGGGGAGGAAGTGGAGTGACTGCTCCAGCCCCTCTCAGAGTTCGTTTTGGAGTCCAACCCTGGACATGAGGAGAGCAGACTTCAGGCTACTCAGGCAACTGGTTAGTAAGGTCCCCTGGGAAAATGCTTTTGCAAGTGCTGGGGTCCATCAGGGCTGGTCACTTTTTAAGCACCACGTCCTATGGGCACAGGAGCAGGCAAATCCAAAATGTCTGAAGTCAAGCAGATGAAGCAGAAGGTCACCTTGGGTGACCAGGGATCTTCTTCTGGAGCTAAGGCAAAAAAAGAAGGTGTATGCCCAGTGAAAGCAAGGTCAGGTGACATAGGGGGAATACTGAGATGCTGCTCGCCACTGTAGGGAGAAAATTTGTGAGGACAAAGCTCAGTTGGAGTTGAAGGTGGCCAGTACTGTGGGGGACAATAAAAAGAGTTTTTTTAAATAAACCAGTAGAAAAAGGCAGTGCAGAAATCTCGTCGGCCTGTTACAGGATGAAGATGGTCATCTCAGAAAGAGGGACATAGACAAGGCAGAGATGTTTAATGCTTTCTTTGCCTCTGTCTTCAACACCAGTTATAGGCTCAGTGGGTCACAGTGCTCTGAGCTGGAGGACCATGGCTGTGAGAATGCTAAATTCCCAGTTGACCCTGAAGTTATGTGGGATCTGCTGCTCCAGCTGGATCCCTGTAAGTCTATGGTGCCTGGTGGGATTTATCCAAAAATACTCAAAGAGCTAGCTGATGTCATCATGAGACCTCCCTCGATGATTTTTGAACAGTCTCGGGAATCTGGGGAGATCCCAGTTGACTGTAAGCTGGACAATGTTCAAGAAGGGCAAGAAGGATGACCCTGGAAACCACAGGCCTGTCAGTCTCACTTCAGTGACTGGTAAACCCTTCCTGGGTACTGCAGAAATTAAGCCTGTCCTAGATGGAACCAGGACATTATCCATTATTCTATGTCATGCCCAGGTCCTACACCTTCCAAATATGTATATATAAACATGAGCACAGGTATCATTACCCTAGTCAATGACTGTCACTCCAAAATGTCTGTTGAGTTCATTTAGTCCATGACTGTGGGTTCTGTCCATCCTAGATATCTTCCAGGGCAGGAGGGCTGCTGACTGTTGTCTGGTTGCAAGCTGCATCAGGAGCTCATGACTGGTGTCATGGACTGGAGGAGTCCATACTCATTATCCATGGTGGTTATGGCATACAGTGGCAGCGTCATTCAGCAACCAGTATCATACAATTCAACATTACAGGCTGTTCTCACCCAAAAGTTAAATCCCCTTGAGGTACACGTGCTTCCCCTTCCCTCTGCCTTACCCAAAAAGTACACTGAAGTCCTTGAGCAGAAACCACCCCAGGTTTGCCTTTGCTTGAGGCAGAACTAATCCAAAGTGTCTTCCCTAACACAGACCTCGTATGCACCACATAAACTTTATCCACTTCTATGCTGCATGGAGGTTTTGATGGGGCAGGACCAGCTTGATTGGCAGGGCCTCTATTATTAACTAACCAGCTGGCCTCTGCCAAATGTAGGTCCCAGTGTTTGAAAGTTCCACCACCCATTGTTTTAAATGTGGTTTTTAACAGTCCATTGTACTGTTCAGTTTTCCCAGAGGCTGGTGTTTGATAGGGAGTATGATATACCTACTCAGTACTGTGCTCTCTGTCTCAGGTGTCTGTGAGGCTGTTTTTGAAATGATGTGTGGAAGGGACTTTCCCTTTGAACATCCAGCCCAGCATGGGAATTTGGGATGTCAGGAGGAGCTGTGCTTCTGTGCCAATCCCTTCTGAAGCAGCTTAAACCCCTTCGTAAGCTGCCAGAATCTGTTTTTCAGTTGGAATGTACTAAGTCTCGGATCCTTTGTATCCCCAACTTCAGAACCCCAGGGGTCATCCTCAGGTCTCCCTGGGTGCTTTTTGCCAGAGACTCCAGGAAGGACCATTCTTCCCAGCTGCAGTGTAGAGCCCATTTTTCACATCTTGTCCTGTCCTGACTCACCCAAGGGCTACTGCAGGAACAATTTGTTCAAAACCGTGTTGTTGTTCAGGACCCCACTTAAAATCATTCTTCTTCAAGGTCTCTTGATAGAGACAATCATGACTGTAATCTGGAATATGCATTCTCAAAAACCCGCAGTGCCTAGGAGAGCTTGTGGTTTCCTTTTTGCTGGTTGGTGGGGACATAGCTGCTATTTGGTTGATCATGTCCATTGGAATCTCACGATGTCCATCTTGCCGTTCTGCTACTAAAAACTGGATTTTCTGGGCCGGTCCCTTGACCTTACTTTGCCTTATGGTATGACTGGCACTGAGGAGAATTTGGATTTTCTTCTCCCTTTTCCCAAAAACGTCCCCTGCTGTGTTGCCCCACATGGTGATGTCAACATGGTGGTGTCCCACCCTTTTCCAGTGCAGTCTGGATCAGTAAATGGCAAACAGTGGGGCTGTGTTTCCAACCCTGGGACAGTTGGTTCCAGGTGTACTGGACACCCCTGCAGGTGAAAGAAAACTGTGACCTGCACTCTGCTGCCAAAGCAATGGAAAAGAAGGCATTGACAATGTCAGTGGTGGCATACCACTCTGCTGCCTTGGACTCCAGTTTGTGCTGAAGTTCCAGCATGTCTGGCACAGCAGCACTGGGTGTGGTGTGACTTTGTTCAGGCCATAATAATCTACTGTCTCTGCTCTCCACTGGACTTATGCACTGGCTGTATAGGACTGTTAAAGGGTCAGTGAGTCTTGCTAACCACTCCCTGGCTGTCCACTTTAGGAACTGTCTCATGGATGGGGGTCACGGAGTCCCGGTTGGTGCAGTGTTGTTGACAGTGCACTGTTGTGGGAGCCATGAGTACCTGTTGTTCTTCAACCATCAGCAATCCCGCACCAGAAGGGTTCTCTGAGAGACCAAACAGGGTATTCAGCTGTCTAATTTCTGTGTCTCCACAGCAGCTCTCCCAAAGCCCAGTGATGCCCTTTTGGGTCCTTGAAATACCCTCTCCTGAAGTAATCTGTGCCAAGATGCACAGGATATCTGAGCCAGTCACAAAGGGGGGGGTTTGCCATTTGTTCCTGGTCAGGCTCACTTCAGCTTCCAGTACAGTCAGCTGTTGGGATCCCACTGTCACCACAGAAATAGAGGTAAATTCTGGCTCGACATATCTCCATGGGATCAGGATACATTGTGAGCTGGTGTCAACTAAAACCTTATATGCTTCTGGGTCTGATGTGCCAGGCCATCGGATCCACATGGTCCAATAGGTCTGCCTGTCCCTCTCCTCCACCTGGCTGGAGGCAGGACCCCTCTACTTCTGGCCATAGTACTCGTTTCTCACTTGCAAATATGAACTGGATGTCCCTTCAAGAGGATTGGAAGCCCTTCAGTTAAAAATTGATCCTGCCCTGGCTGGAACTGGGACAGGAGCACAAGGTGGGAGGGACAGAGAAGCCCTGTGGAGACTCACTTATGTCTACTTGTGAATTGGGTTATTTGCAGTACATTACATGTGAAATTAAGTTATTGCCAGGCAGATCACACTCTTTATGGATGTGAGATTGTTGCAAATACGGCCTGTCTCTGACCTTTACATCAAAGAGAAAAAAATTAAAGTTTATGCGTCAAGACTGGGTAGATGTGAATGTTCCAGCAACATGCCTCTCAGATTTGGTCTTATTTTCAGTCTTGTGGGATATTAAAAAATTGTCTGTTAGAGACTCATTCTGTATGCTGTCTTACTTCAGACCCAGAAGGTTTGTGTTTTCAGGCTTTTCCTAGAAGCATCCTGACAAACGAATGCAGAAGGTCGTCTTTGGCTGTGAGGCACGTTTTTCCAGCAGGAAGGATAGCAACACGGTTAAGAGGAGGGGTGTTCAAGTGTCGCAGTAAAAGTGAAAGATGTGTGTGTCCCCCACCTCTCTGCACAGGCTCAGTGGCTGTAGTGAGTGTGCCTCGTGTGTGCACCAGCCCTGCACCCTTGACTGCCACGAGCAAGAACACAGGAGGGCCAGGTTACTCCTCCTGCTCAGTGGGAGATGTTGCAGGTCTTCTGCCCTCTGCACTCTTCCCCGGATGCTTTCTGCAGGTCAGGTAGTCGCACTGCCCCCTGCAAGGTGACTGGTGTGGTCCTGGCCACTCTGACAGGAGACCCTCTGGAAGGAGGAGCACACATTTGGTGTGAGCTCTGAGTCTGCTGTGCTTGCCTTCACCACCTGGAGTAGCTCCTCTGATTTGGAGGGGAATACTAATGAGTGTAAAGTTAAGAGATGCAGGGGTGACAGGCAATTAGAAGAGGACAGAGAACATCCTGGATGTCTGTCTTGCATAAACAACACCTGCTCCAGTTCCTTCCCCAAACAAAAGAAAAACATTAAAAATAACAAGAGCTCTTTCAAATGATGGAATTACATATTATTTTGTATATTCCGTGGCTGAGATCAGTGGTAATTTAACTTTCATTTCATTTACTATAATGCTGGAATTAACTGCACGCAGAATGATAGCCCATTTTCCTAGAAAGGCTCCTTGGATCTTAATGTCTGATGTATGCTTACGTACTTCTTGCTGTGAAGTGTACTTTGCTCTGTGCACTGTGTGAAGCAAAAAAAAGAGATTTATTACTTTAATTTCACTTTTTTTTTTCCCGCTTGCTCTTTTAGGAGTTTCTTTAAAGCCTTTTCACTTATTGGAGAAACTCAGGAAAGAGAGAGAGTTTTAATCCACTTCTCTAGCCGATACTACCAGTGCAACCCAAACACCATTTCTTCTCAAGGTAACTGTGTTTCTAATACTGTGGTCTTTGGTTGTCTCCCTCTTCCTTCATTCTCACCTTCAACAGCATGTGGGGCATATGCCTGGCAGCTGAGGCTGGGTAGTTGCCATGACACACTTTAGAAACTCCCTGTGGTGAGCATTGAAACCCTCACGCAGTTGTGGAGAATCTGTATTTATCCCCAGCAGGAAAGATGTTTAGGCCTCCTCAGTATAAATTCTCAGTCGTAGCTTCTCGTATTTGAACGTCCTCCATTGTAGTTCCTGGTCTCCCTGACTTCAGTCTGTGGGGGTGCTTGTACTCTTCCTGCACACACGTGGACAAGAATAGATCCCATCTCAGGTGGAAGAGAAACTGTTTTCTTTCCGTACTCCATTCACTGCTTGTGTGTCTGCATGCACTGGCAGCAGGCATGCCAGTTCTTGCCAGTTGTGGGGGTGAATTTTGGGTGCTGTATCCAGACCCTGGCATGGTTTTATCTTGACTAGCTAACATCAGTCAGAGTGCTTCCTCCTTGCCAATGTTTTCAGTCATTTTGGAAGTGAATGAGGAAAACAAACAAGCACACAGACCAAACCTGAGAAAACTGGCATTGGAGGAGAGGACAAACTGTCCATTGGTGTAGCTGCTGTGTTCAGCCAGCCACACTGGCAGAGCCACATGGCCCTGTGATTGCAGCATGGGCTGGTCACACACTGAGGGGGGAGGATGAAAAGGAAATCAAACATGGGTTAAGCTGTACCTTTAGTCTCAAGTGTGAGTGAGAAAGAACTGCTACACTTGGAAGTACTGCTGTGCTTCCTTACCCCTTGCTTTGTGACCTGCCCCTGTTGCAGTGAGGTGATTTTTGCCCTCTTTGCGCCTGTTCAGCTTTACTGTTTAGCATACTGGGATGGGGAAGAGTTAGAAGTAAGACAGGATCTACTCCTTTCCTATCTGTGTCCTCTACCTCTTGCCTTTTTAGTTTCAAGGCACTGTAGGCAGTCAGGTAGAATGGGTGCAGCATGGCCAGACTGAAATAATGACTTGCCTGTTGATGGGGCAGCCTTACTCTAGTCCAGGGTGCGAGAGGGATATTGTCACTTCTGAGCCTGAGTAAGCATTTAGATCAAAGGCAGTCCTGCACACTTTGCCCACGATCTTAGCACTGTGTGCAGTTTTGGGCACCACAATATAAGAAAGATATAAAGCTATCAGAAAGTATTCAGAAAAGGAATATGAAGGTAGTGAAGGGTCTAGAGTGAGAGCCCATAGGAGAAGCAGTGGGGTTACTTAGTTTGCTCAGCCTGGAGAAGAGGAGACTGAGGAGAGACCTCATCTCAGTCTACAACTTCCTCACAAGGGGAAGAACAGGGGCAGGCACAGATCTCTCTGGTCACCAGTGACAGAACCCAAGGGAATGGTATGAAGCTGTGCCAGGGGAGGTTTAGGTTAGGAAAAAGTTTTTCATCCAGAGGGTGGTTGGGCTCTGGAACAGGCTCCCTAGGGAAGTGGTCACATCACCAGGCTTGTCTGTGTTCAAGAAGTGTTTGGACAATGCTCTCACATGGTGTGACTCTTGGGGATGGTCCTGTACAGGGCCAGGAGTTGGACTCAGTGACCCTTGTGGGTCTCTTCCAACTCTGTTCTGCGGTTCTATGAATCCGTCTCTTCTGGTTCATGACTTGGCCACCGGACCACCTTAGAGACCCCTGGAGTGGTCTCTACCCAAGAAAGAGCCAAGGCACCATAAATAGGTGACTGAAGTTCTCCAGAATTCATTCTAATTGAGCCCTGAATGAGGAGGGAACCAGAAAAGGAGGAAAACATGATACCATGCTAAATACAGTCTGCACACAAGAATGGATGTATTTTACTCTTTCCTTTCTGATCTGAATTAAATGAAGAAGAAGGTGTTGATTCAGACTGTGGTGTTGGTATTAATAAGCAAAGGGTGACAGCGTGGTCACCTGTCTAGTTTCCTGTCTAGTTTGCTTCATCCATGGGTGCTGAAAGATAGTTTTGACAGTTACTTAAAGATGAAAGAAAGACTGTTCTAGTTTGGCAGCTGTGTGATGACCTCATTGTTCATTTATTTAATTATGTGTGTTTCTTGATAAAACAGATTCTTATAAAGGGAACAGATGCAATTAGGCTATGAGACTCATTTTCAGCTCCTCTTAAAGGTCCAGTTTTGGGGTTGCATGTGACTCTTGTTTTGTTTCTTTCTGCAGATGGAGTTCACTGTCTCACCTGTGCCATGATGCTGCTGAACACAGACCTGCATGGCCATGTGAGTATGCACAGTTTTGTGTAGACTGCTCCTATCAACACTGTGCTGGGTGGTGGCCTGCTCCTAAAGCCCCTGCAGACAGCAAACAGTGAGAAGGCTGCACTCCAAGGCCATTGTCCTGGGCAGGCCTTTCCATCATACCTTTCCAGTCATGTGTAAGCTGGCATTGTGCCTGGCTTTGCCATAATGTGTGAGGATACTCTGTGTCCTCAGGCCCATCTTCCTGGTGTGCTTACCATTCTTCCGTGGTTACAGCAACTGGCCCTGACCAGGAAGCTGTGGATGGGATTGACTTCCCCTTTACAGTATGTGAAGACATGTGAGAAGGCAGAAGAAAGAGGGGAGGTGCAGAAGTTTTAGGAAGGTCACAAAGGGAAGGTGACGTTTGCAGGCAGACAGTTGCAGGGGGCAGATCTGGTGAAACCAGAGTTTTGCACAGCCAGACTAATGATTGGTGTGCACAGAGCCAAGAGAGTGGAGGGTGGATATGGGCATGCTGAGTGGGAGCCCTCTGTTCCCCCATGGCACACTTCTCCCCACTGCCTGCCTGGGGGAAATAGTATTCTGGTTTGAGTCCTCTTAGTCACACTGATGCAGGGTGCCAGCAGCCCTAGGACGAGTATTTCAGCACCCATGATGCAATATGCCTGCTATGTATGGTATTCCCATACTGATGGGAGGCTTTCTCTACCCTAGAGTTAGGGTGGAGAGGGGAAAACACAGGGATCATGGCATAATAGCATGCAGGATCATTGTCTTCAGCCAGGTGGCTCTGGGGCTTCTCTGTGGCTGAGGCCCTTTGCTGCACTTCCAAGAGCTCTTCCAGGAGTGTGTCATTTGGAAACTTAGACAGCAAGGATGGTGAGTTGGGCAACAGGAGACAGAGGCAACCTAGGTCTGTCACCAAGGGCTGTTCAGCCCCTGTGGGTGCAGCTCTGTGGTGGGTGCAGGTGATGGAACCAAGGCTTGTGTATTCTTTGCCGGGAGTTTTGAGGCCCACCTGCCGTTCATTGAATGCCTTTGTCTGAAAATTGTAGAAAGCAGAAGGGAGGAGGGAGCTGAGAAGAATTTTTTCCCTGACGGCTTAGCCTTCCCCGACTGAGGATTGCGTCAGTGACGTGTGAGGGTGAGCAGGGGTACAGCAGCGTGCCCCAGTTTGCCTCTTAGCACACACAACTTCTGTTGAGCACAGCTGAGATGTCACGCACAGGTATCCTGCTCCCCAGAGCGATGAACACCCTGGGGTTCCTGCTCTCCAGCCTCTCTGGCCTCACAGTCCATGGAGGGAGAACAAATGCTCATGCATCAGCCTGGCAGCAATTCCTGTTGCTCCCTGCAATTCTTTAGTGGGCTCTACTGTCTTCATTAGGTGCTGGAGTAAATAAATAAATAAATAATCCAGCTGTGACCCATCATTGCTGCTGCTGATTTGCAGCTGAAACCTGGCTGCTTGTTGCAGTGTGTCACTTTGGAGGTTTACCCCACTGGCAGTTGATAGTGTGTTTTTACATATATGCAGCTGTAGTGTTTGCCAGAGTCCTACTTGTGCTGTGTCATGTGTGTGTCATCATGTTCCCTCCAACCCCTCTGATTTCCTGTAATTTTGATCTTCCTCTTGCTGCTTTGTATTTTTCCACATAGGTGGTAAGTTTGGCATTTTTGACTCGGAATGCAGCCCTTGCAGATATGCCTAATTGCCTATTTCCTAAGAGAGATAATGGTCTGCCCCATCCTTACCAGGAATTCGCTGGAGCAGGAAGCAAATGAGTCACTGGGCTTGTCTGCACTGAGCTCCATTTGTTACTGACTTACTGATCATAAGTGCAGACACTTATTTCACAATAAGCTCAACTTCTTGTGGGGCTGTGGTGCTGCTGCTCTGCTCAGTGCACACTTCCTTTATGCTCTTGTAGACAAACTCTTACTTATCCCTCTTTTTTCCCTGTCTTGTCACATTTCATTCTCTTCGTAACTTAATAATTTTGGCTAGCTGGGTCTTGGAGATGCACGCTTGCTCCTCTGCACAGAGGTGATCACCCAGGCAGGAACTAGAGACTCTTAAGGTATCTCTAAACACCAGGCCCATCTTGTGGAACCTCTGTGGCACTGTGCAGAGATGTGAGCTTTGGTCCTGGACCAAAACAGCCATTTGTCTGCAGTGCCACGTTGCTGTTGGGAATCTGTTGAATTTTTTGTTCACTGTGGGGAAGCTGCAAACTGCTGCGTGGAGGAAAGAAACAGAAGCAGGCTGAAGTCTCAGTGAGAAGGGAAAGCATTTGCAAGTCTACTAGACCAGCTCCAGCCTGCACCTGAAGACTGCATTTGTGAGCTGCATTCTGCAGTCTTAGCAACCAGAGACCCAGAGTTACAGCCAGACTGTGTTGTCAGGAGCCTTCTTGTTGTGTGTAGGAAGCTGTGCATTGTTCTGGTATTATTGCTTGCCTTCTTTCTGTGGGTCTGTGCTGGCCACAAGCTGTGGGATTTTCTTTTCTGGGTAGGTGAGGCTGATGGTCAGGATTTGGTGGTTTTCCATCTCTCCCTAATCCAACATTATGAAAGGGAAGCAGAGGATGTGCAGTCCAAGCTATCATGTAACTGTAGCATTAAATGACTTGTTTTACCAACTGGTGCTCTCCTTTGGGCTTCACTCGTGTATTAGTTTGGGCTCTTGCTTCTAGCCCAAGACACTGTCTTTGCACAAAGCTCTTCTGCTGTATTTCTCCAGACAAAGCATACCCTGACCATGGAGAAGTCATGTTCACCCCTTTCCTCTTGACTGGCAGAGTGCCATCCCCAGAGATACCATGATCATCACCGAGCCCTGTTTTTCCTCTGCCTTTACCATGTTTCACAGCTCACCTCAGGCTGCTTTCCTTTTCTCAGATCTCTTTTGTTTTCCTTTTCATCAATGCAGTGTTGTCATTGCTGCCCACACACCAGGCTCCCCACATGATAAGCTTGGGACTTCTAGCACCTGGGGGACTGAGTATAGACACTTTTTCTGAGGGGTGATGGAGACTGGGATTCAAGAGCAGTCAGGGCAGCCTCAAGCCTCTGTATGGAACAGTTGGGATCCTACATGAACATAGCTGTTCCTTTGCCATTTGTGGCTCAGTTGGACAACTCTCAGTCTGAGAATAAGAGAAGAGAGAACAGAGAAGAGAGAAATGAGAACAGTCTTATGGAAATGTCAAGGCAGCCTCAGCCTGTTAATCAGAAGAGGTAATGGCTGCTTCTGGGCATTGTACTGCAACTCAGGGTGGTTGATACTTGAAGGGAACATTGGAAATTGTAAGAGAAAGGTCTGGAAAGGGCCTCAGTCAGCTGTTCCCTTGTACCCCACAGCAGATTCAGGTAGAGCTTTTCCATCAGAGGCTGGTAGAGCCTCTTGTAAGGCACCATGGAGATACTAGAGAGCTTCATCACTGCCCTCTTCATTACCCCCAGTATTAAGTTGTTTTTCTTTTTGGATGGGTGTGTGGGCCCTTCGGTGCAAAAGCACCTTCCCTTTTCTAGCTATATGCATACAAGGATACTTGTCCCTGAGTAATCTCGTGAATGCTTTCTTAGTGCTGCCTGCCTTGGGCTTAAAATGAGAGCAGGGAGGTGCATTTAATCTGATGTTGCTCACTCATGTCATTTTGGAAAGCAGCAGGAGTATGATGCTGTGTTTCTCTGACATCCCTTCCAGAACATTGGGAAAAAGATGACCTGCCAAGAGTTCGTTGCTAACCTTCAAGGGATGAACGATGGCAAAGACTTCCCTAAAGGACTGTTGAAGGTAAGGAATCAACTACAGAACGTGGGTTTCGTTTTTACTGAGAGAAGCTTCAGAACGGAACACCGTGTCTTGCGTTTCCTGAATCTTAATTGTCAGACATGACAAGCAATGGGCACGTTTCTCCTCCCAGAACTTACATAATATATACAGTGCTTATTCTGTTGTTTTCCCTCTTGCCTTCACTTGATAGTGATTGGGATTCTCTGCAGCACAGAGAGGCGAGACTGAACTCCAGCAGGGCTGGCTCCAGAGCTGTGTGCCTTGTGAAGTCCTGTGCCCATGCCAACCCACAGCGCTGTCTCCTGATTACACTGGGCAGAAGCAGCCAGTTGGTTTTGACTTTGAATACTTAAGAGCTAATCTTGATCTCTGTGGATCTGGAGAGCATGTGTGTTTTTTCATCAAAGGTGCTTTGGGGTTTTCACATTAGAACTGGAGATGTAATTTCAGATTATAATGTGCTGTCTGGCACAGGCTGCTTTGCTTCGTGTTTTGTTCATTAAGTTTGTGCCAGGAGTTAAATATGAAGAACAGGGAAGAAGGCTGAGCAGGACAAATCTTGTTTCATTGTCAATAATAATGAGAATGTTTCACTTCTTTTTTGTCTGATTGCTGGCATGAAACAGCAGTCTGTTTGAATGAAGGCAGGTGCGCATACACTAGAGTTCTTAATTTTATTTTATTGTGATGGAAATAAAAATAAGAGGCTGCTGCATCTGAGACCTGACCCAAAACCTACTGAAATAAATCAAAAGAGTTGCTATCTCTTCTGTGGGTTTTGTGTCAGGCCCATTGTGAAATACAGATGTACCTGCATGGTTACAAGTGGCAGACTTTGTTTTCTTGTATTGGTGTTTTTTTCAGTTTCTCCAGCCTCTTCAGGGAGCTTTTTGTTGGGCCCTCCTGCCTGAGATCTTACTAAGTAGTGAGGAATATAAACTCAACACCTCTTTATTTTAGATTTAATGTCTGTGATTTTTAAATCTTGATACAGTGTCAGCAGCAACACTTGAATTTATTTTTCCTGCAAGGAGTCTCATTTCTCAGTTTGCCATAGAGGGATGTGTTGAGATTAATTTGCAGGCTAATTACAGCCCTTATTGAATAAGTAGATCTTCAAATTGTGTTTAAATAACCTTCTGAGTGCACTGATGAGAGACTTCTGCTGGTGCTCACCTGCTGTTTGTTTTCCTTCTGACAGAATTATGCAGCTGGGGGTGTACCTTGGTGTTCAGTGCTCACCTGCTAATGCTGAGTCTGCCTGGCTCTTCTCTGGGCTGTCCAAAGCAAGGATCAGGGGTCAGGATTTTTTAGATGTAGACAGATAGAAAAAGTTCAGTGTCAATGTCCCACTTTACGTGGGGCTTTCTGCCCTTTTTTATGTGCTGCCTTGATGTCTTGAGGACAGAGGTGAATCCCAGCCTTGGTCTCTCATCTGGCTTGTCTGAAGATCAGCTGATGAACTGACCCTTGGTTTTTAATTTATCAGTGGAGCGAGTGGTAGTAATTGTGCATTTCAGTGCCTCCTGTGTCCACAGCAGCCACCCTGCCATTAACTGTGTGATTACAAAGACTTAGCAGAAATTAATTTTGCATTAGTCTCAATAAATTAAATTCACAGAGCTCTGCTTCAGCACAGCACCAAAGTGCATTTGGCTTGCTGCTGCATTAGCAGTGTAGCTAATGGGCTTTGGTGAGGCTGCAAGCCATCTTCCTGCGTCCTTCCCCAGCTGCCTGCGAGAGGAGGAACAGTTTCCACAGGGTGGCAGTGTGTCCCTGTGGGAGTGAGGTCCAGAGCACCCACGGGTGAGTAATGCAGACCCATGGCGAAGCAAGTGGGCTTTTCTGCCTCTCCAGTCTCTCTGTGTTCTCCTTGTAGCTCTGCTGCACCACTCTGTGAAGCTCTGGGGCTCTGCTGAGTCCTGGAGCAAAGCTGAACAGTGCTGGAGGGGAGAGAAGACCAGGGAGAGCGGAGTGTTCATCCAGGGCTCGTGAAGCTCCGTGCAGCATTTACTCTGGATCCGGTTCACAGTGTTAGGGGGGCAAATACTGCTTGGGCTATCCAGGGCTATCCAGTGCCAGTCGACTGACAGGCATTGATCAAACATTGTCTTCAGTCAGTCCCTTCACCCGTGGTGCTGCTGAGGGCAGAGTGTGGCCCTGAGTGTTTTGTCTGGATAGGAAAATAACCCATCAAGGGGCAGACATCAGCATCTGAGGAGTGACACACTTCTTTGCTATCAGCCTCAGAAAACTCGGGACATCAAATCCAATTGCTCCTTTCTTTACACTTCTCTGAGGGAGCCATCTTTTTGTTTTGTCAAGTTTTTTCCCAACGATGAGAACATTTTTGGTAAACACGACAAGGCCTTCATGACCTGATTCTCAGTGTGTTGCTGTCAGTGCTTTGAGAACAGATATTTTACTCTGGTTAGAGATAGAAATGAGAAATGCTAATATGATCTTGCTCACCTTGTGTCTTGCTGTCTGTTCATTAACACTGAAAAAAGTTCTGCTTTCATACACCCATCTGCACAAAGATTCATTGCCTTTTCTTTTTCCTCATTCCTTTAGTGAGATCTGAGGTTGCTTTTAAAGTTGGGACCCATAAAGACAAATGTGCCAAACTGTGATTAAAAGCATTCTTCTCCCCATGGGATCTGCTTTCAGTATTCATATATTCAGTACTTTACCAGGCAAGCAGATATATATGTACCTTGCCTTTTACTTCAACTTAGCTCCAGTTTGACTGTCCATCACACATCCCATTTATCTGCCATCAGCTGCTAGTAAAGATTGGACTTGGAGACAGTAGCCTGATTTCCAGTTGTGTACTGACAGTGCATTCTGACCAGAGAGTGATAGTTTTTACTTAACTTCAGGGTTCCTGTATGCCTTCAAACTGGAACAAATTCCTTGTAAATGAGAACCACCTTCCCAAGCTGAGATTTTTCTCTCTAGTGTAAATCAGGATCATCTATCTCTGTGGGTCTGGCTGATGTAGAAGGTGAGTCAGGACTGCCTTAAATCAGGCAGACTAAGGTTATTGAAAGTTAATTTTTTCAAAAGCAGGAAGACTTCTTGAAACTCCCATCCTTTGAGCTGTCACAGTCCAAGCATGCAAATAATTTTATGTTATGCCAAGCTGTTATCAGGCAAGGTAATCCTAAATTTCAGCCTTGATCTTATACTGTAGCAAAGGTTGTTTTGTTCAGGAGTTGAGGCATTGGAAGGAGTGCTAAGTACTAAGAGTTTTGACCACTGTGTGTTCTTGCTGGTGCTGCAGTACTGTGCTCTGGAGTGGCTCAGTGCTCGATCCTAAGGCTGTTAATGAATCACATAGTTACCAGCATTCACAAGTGGGGATGAGTGACAGGTTTACAGGGACTTGAGTGAGACAAAGAGACCCAGCTGCAGCTCTCATCTCCTAGGAGTGGAGTTACCCAACATCCCAGATTAGCTGCTGCAGAGGTAAGGAGCAGAAGGAGCACCACCATGAATGAGAGAGCTGAACAGTTTAACAGCAGAAACAGTTAAAACAACCTGTGGGTTGTTAGCCTAAGGGAGTCATGACCAGACCATTGTTCTCTTATTGCTGTAGAAAGGGAAGCCATGACTCGGGTCTCCCTACTTGGAAAATAACAAAGTCAGTCTGACAGTTTGGCAATGTCAAGAACCTCATGATTACAGCGTAGGAGTGGTTCCTTTCTCACATGCTCATACCAGTTTTAATCTGGTATAGTGACACTCTATAGTGACACCACAGCCTTCTTTAAAGCTGGTCTTCACAAGATTTTCTGGAATGAGAAGGAGATTGGCTTGGAAAGAGCCTACTTTTGGCATGGTTGCTTCACTTCCTACCAGCACTGTGGTCTTCACAAATAAAGTGCCAGTACTGTGCTGGCCATCGTGTCTTCATCTTGTCACCTTGTGGCAAGGTGTGTGGGAGTCCACTCCGTCAAGGTGGCAGTGACAAGGCCTTTCATATGCAAGGTGAGAAAATACTGTGGTCCAGAGAGCCTGCAAGGAGTCTCCTCTGAGGAAATGGGTCCCTGCTTTTGTTAGGCAGTGTCCTGGGAGGGGTGCTCTGTCGTCAGGCTGTGTGCAAAGTACCACCTGTCCTGCATGAGTAAATATCCTCTGCATTTACAGTGTCCAGGGTACCTTGTTCATGGAATCAGGGGGCATCACCCAGGCTCTGACAGGGGGCTGACTCTGGTGGCTGTGCTGCCCTGTGACATGGGCACTGGTCGTGAGGGGGTCAGACCTGGCTGTGTGTCTTCTGGTAGGAGGTGGTAGCTTTTCACTGACCCGTTGTAGTGCCTGGGAACCTCCATCACGCTGGGGCACCTGGTATGCCCTGCAGGGACTTGGCTAGCATCATCCTGGCAGGGGCTTCTGATGGTTAAAAGATCTGCTTTTTCTCAAAGGCTGTTTTTTGGATAGACCTTATCTCCTGCAGAAGCGCTGTAATGAAGTGACCAAATTAACTTAAGAGTTGCTGGTGCTGAACTCTCCAGTCCTCCTTAATTTCCTAAACGATCTGAGTTCTTGATCAGGATTCCTGGGATATGCAATTTCCTGTAGAAGCTGCAAGGTAGGGTTTATCTAATTTTGCTGTCAGTTCCCTGCACTTTAATTAAGGATTTTATTTTTTTCTTTACCACTGTCTTTCTGCCTCCTCTCTCTCTCTTTTTTTTAAATCCCCTTTAAAAGACCTCCAAAACAAACACTGAGTGTAAAGTGAATTAGTGGCATCTTGCTTCATCCATTCCAATCATTTCAGGTATTTAGTGGAGAAAAGGGAATGAGCTGACTGACTCCTTCCAACACACCCCCAACCCTTCCTTTACACAGAGGAAATCACACTAATCGGACTGCTGTGTACACCCTAATTGCTCTCATCAGCAGTCTCTGCACTCCATCCATTTCCTCTATGGCAAGAAATTCCCACTTTCCAGGGAAGCCTGATGAATTTGGGGAGACAGGAGCATGTGGCA